CGTGACGTCACGTCCGGCACGTCCGCGCCGTTTCCTCCGCGTTGCGTTGCGTATGGCGCGGCGCGCGCCGAGCGGGGACGTTTAAAAATAAAGCCTCTGCGCGCGCAATCGCTGACTAATCGATCCTGACATGGATTCGATGTTCATGACTTCCTACTTATCGAGTGCCTGCTCCTGAACTTTGTCGGGCGAGGCCCTGGGCCTGGGCCGCCGCCGGCCGCCGCGGTGCCCGTTCGAGTCGTCAACCCATTGGTGGCGTCCGAGTGCGCAGAGATAACTATGTGCTTCGTAGTTTCCACCGAAAACCTCCGTGTCTTTTTCGTAGCGGTACCGACTAGTCGTTAGGAGCCTGACGTGGTGCGGCGCACCGCGGCGCACCGCGGACTCGGCCGTGACACGCGGTGCAACACTCGGAACCGGAACTTGACGCGCATCGGCCGTGACACGCGGTGCAACACTCGGAACCGGAACTTGACGCGCATCGGCCGCCTCACGTGGCGAATCAAATTCGGCCAAGAATAAACCACCCCGGACTTACTAGGCGTGGCTCTGGTGACTGGCAGGCTCAGGGAAACACAGTGACACGACGGGGCGGGGCGCCGTGACGTCAATGCGCCGCCCCATTACCAGCCGCGTCGTGCGGTGCCCGAAATTCCCAATCACGCGCGTGCTCTTGGCCCACATTCTCCGTGCGTGTGCCGCCGTGACGCACCGTCGCTCTGTCCCTCTCGCACTCGCGGCGCGCGCCGTGGCGAAAGAGACAGCGCCGGGATGACCGGCCTGCTGGAGAGCGCCGTCCGCCGCGGTCCGCGCGGACCCTCACTGCGGCTCGAAATAGCCGCGGTGCAACCTCCAGAATGTGGGTGCCGATGCGCGTCACAAGCCCGCCGCCGCCTAACCAAGTCAGTGCGTGGCGATGCGTCGCAGTGCGTCGCAGTGCGTCGCGCAGCTTGGCCGAGACGCAGAGCGCCTCCAAATTAGAGCACGCTTATCTGGCCGTCCGGAGCCCTTGGCTGCCAGCTCGGCCAGCCGGCCGCCGCCAGCACGGGGACGCCATGCGTAATCCTGTGCACGGCGGCCCGCCGCGGCGTGGCTCGCCGAACCCGATTGGAGCGGGTTGGGCTGGGTTTGTTTTGGGTTGCGTAAGCCTTGGCGGGCATCTCGGCGTGCTCGCGGCCCGATAACCCTCGCCGTCGTCCTCCGGCCGCGCCGCCCCGCGCGCACCTTTGGCCGTCGCCGTGCACTTTGGCGGAAAGCGGCACTAAAATTAGCCATGCCGATCTGGTTCGGCCCGGTGTGGCCCGGTGCGCCGAACAGCGAGAGTGCGAACAGGCCGTTGCTCGGATTTCTGCAAGTCATGCCGCCCTGCACGATGCATTATGCAGCAGCACGCGCATAACTCGCAGCAGGCAGGGCCGGGCGGCACGGGGTGGCGCTCGAAGAGTGTGGTGGACCTCGAGCTGGAATGGCCCCCGGCCGTCCCTGGCCGCCCCTGGCCGCCCCTGGCGGTGTGGACCCTCGCGGAGGTCACTGTTCGCGGGGCACTGAACGGACGCGTGCTTTCATTCCCATGCGGCATTGCTTGACCAGGTGGCCACCCGGCTGAGGACGCCACCTGTCGGCAACTCTACCTCTCGAGCGCCGCCCTGCCGCCTCGCTTTTATCGGCTGTCACCTTGTTGACGGGGCGGGCCTGTTATCGGCGTGGACGCATGGACCGAAATCCGACTCGCACATAAAAATAATCACCACGTCCGAATTTGGGAGTGAGCGAGTGTTTTCGTCGCGTGGCGCTATTGGCTCTGCCGGCGAGGTTTTGTTTTGATCCGCGGCGTGAAAACAGCCTCGTTAGCGAGTCGGACGCTAGGCAAACGAGGCGCTCCTTCGAAACAGGAACATCGCCCACTTGAGGCTGTAAGGAGTGATCCTTGGAACGCGGCCACCTGCACAATCTTCGTCCACGAAGTCCTGCGAACGCAACATTCGTTCGTTAGAAGCCAATCGGTAGGAAAGTCACTGCCGATTGACTCACCGCCACTTGAAGTAAGAGGCTGTTTGGCACCGGATCCCCAAAGCATTTGTTTGAAAGGAAATTTTATATATTGTGAGAGGGTTTTTCATTTTGTTGTTTTGAAATTTGAACGTGACATGTCCGTAGAGGCCCGAGTGGCGGTGGGCGTGTTCACTGCCCAGGGCCTCTGAGCGTGATTTGCATGATGGCCCCGCCACCCTTCTCCCGTGATGTCACGAGAGAGAGAGAGGAGGGCGCCGTGCCACGCCGTGCCACGCCGTGCCACGCCAGCCGCTGCCGGGCTGCGCGCTCCCAGGCAGATAATGAAGCTGCTCGGTAATCCCGAGTGTGTTTCTTCACCTCGAATGGAGGGGAACCACGCAGGCGCGGGGACAACTGCTCTGCAATTATTTTAACGGTCACTTTTTACGCGCTGGCGTGGCGCGCAGACTGCGTGGAGCTATACATTTCTTTGCTCCAGGGAGAAAGAAGCGCCCCTCTTACATTTTGTGACTGGGAACCCCCGCGGCCAGCGCATGCTCCATGCTGGGAAACGCCGAGTGGTGGAAGTCGGTGGACGTGTGCGTGCCCGATTGGGGCGATGTTGAATGCTGGTCTCGCGGCCACGGACCATCGTGACCCAATGGGTCTTGGCCGAGGTTATCGTAGGCCTGAGCAGGCGGGGGCGGGGCGGGGTGGCTGGGTCGCGGCCCGCGGCCTGCAGGGTCGCGAGCACCGGGCGCTGCGCGTCGCTGCGCTGGTCATCCACCTCAAGGCCCTGATCCCTGACGGCGGCCCCATCCGGCCAATGCAACGGAAGCGCCTGGCCGCTGGCGCCACCTGGCGGAAGTGACGTTGATGTCGTGTTGACGGCGACGTGTTGACGCCGACCCTTCCAGGACGTTCTGCTTTGGTTACAAGGGGACACTGCTGTGCTGCCGCGAATCGGGGAGGCCGTGAGTCACCGAGTGACGCTGGTACCGCACCACGCGCTGCGGAGCGCCGTGACTTGCCACAAAGTGACTTGCTTTCGGCCGCGGGGTCACGGAGTCACCGGCTACCTGGCGCTGCGCGTGGGTGTGTGTCCGTGTCCCTTGTCGCCGCCAGGCCCGCTGTCCGCCACGCGCGTTAAAAGCCACGAGCTCGAAGTGGGCGACATCGTGGAGGGGTTCTAGAAGGCCGCGGCATGGCCTGTTCGACGAGTGGTGTGCCGGGGGCTGGCGGGCTGGCCGATGACGGGCGGCCCGGGGCGATATAAACAAATAACGCTACCACAGCAGCAGCAGCAGCTACCCCCGCCACCGCCATCCTGGCCTGCTCCTGCCGCTGCCGCCGCCGATGCGCTGGTCGGGGTTCGGCTGTTCGTCGCGTCACGGCTGTGCGGCGCGCTACAGTGGCTCTGCCTGCTGACTGCTCTCCGCGCGGCACCGCGGCTCCGCGGCCGCAGGCAGGCCCCAGCCCAGCCCCTCGCCGGGCGCAGGCACACTCGCTCTAGCGGCCGCCTCGCGAGAAGACGCCGCGACCGCCAGCACCGCCCCAGCACAGCACGCGCCGCCCACGCGCACCGCGGACTTACAGTGAACAGGATACCCTAGTGCTTGACCACCGCCAGCTCCACCAGCGCCGCCATGGTGGCGCCCGTGGTCCGCAAGAGGACCGTGATACCCTTGGGCCCCAGCGGCCCCCAGCGGCCCGCCGGCCACGGCCACGGCGTGCTCCGCTCCAACAACGTGATCGGCGCGAGGAGGCGCAGGCTTTCGGTAGGCAGTTCTGCTGCGGCAGCATCTTCAACTTGAGCTCGGCCAGCTAGGCCATTGGCGCTTTGCGGGGCTCTCTCCGGGACTCTTATGTTTATTTTGTGAAACGGCACTGGACTAGTACATTCCTCTTGAACGGGATCGCAGTGTTCTGAATTTCGTCATTCTGCCGACGGTTAGAAGTTATGGGTTGTGTACGTTGTCTGCGAAAAATACTGCTGTAAGATACACCAAGACACTTTGTCATGTGTAGTGATCCTCGCGAGGTTGTGCGTCATGGGGACCGTGGACCAGGTTCGTTCATCTCGGCGAGAAGCAGGAGAGTGTGTTGTTGGATGGTGGACGCGGCGACGCGGCGTGTCGGTGCACTGGCACTGGCCGCCACGCCACTGGCATAGAGGGCTGCCACCGCCACGCCGTTGGCGGAGGGAGGACCACGCGAGCAGCGCGGGCAGCGCGGGCATCGTGTCCTGTTGGGAACCACAATCTGCTCGACCTTATTTTCCATCGCCAATTAATCTGCATTGTACGAAGGGTGTTATCGCTGGCCGGGGTCGGAAACCCGTAAGCCCTGCCGTGCCGTGCTGTGCGTGGGCTAAGGCCCTGCTCGGCGCTGCCAAATTTTATCAGTCAATTTTGCAGTCGATGCTCTTTTTCTGAAGCAAAGTGGAGGATTATAAAAAGGAGAGCGACCGCCTTGGCGCTGACCCGCGAACCGCGAAGGCAGCAAAGACTCGCAAAGGCTAGCCCGATGGCCAGGCTTATGCAATGATGGCTTGCATCCTGACCCGGCGATAACGATTTCCCAAGCGGGCGATACCACGGTGGTACTACCTTTGGCAGTACTCTATTTCGGAGAGCGCTCATTAATAAAGCAGGAGGTTTGGGGGCACGGGGCCACCTCCAAGTCCGCCGGCAAGTCCACCGCGCGGGTAGCTTTCTCCCTACGAGGCGTGGGCGCGGCGCAAAGCTCGGCCATGACTTGCGGTGTGGTTGTGTGTGAGAGTGTGTCGGTGTGTTTGTTTAGTGCGGCTTCGTTTTGCACACGGCGCCAGCCTTTACTGCGGTTTTGTTTTTCCTCCGCGTTGAGAAATGATCGCCATTTTTTACGACGGCCAGTCAAAACACTCACCTGGCGCGTGCCGTGCCCGGTGGCGTGGAGAGTGCGACGCGCACTGGCGTGACGCTTGCCCACTTGACCGTTCTCTGACCCTCGGCCTCTGTATGTTGCAGCCCTCTGGCTGGAGGAAGATCCGGAACATCGTCACCTGGTCGCCCTTCGTCCAGAACTACAAGAACCAGCAGTACTTCTGGGTGCAGCTCGCCGGACACCAAGGTGAGGAGAGGAGCTTGATTCGTGCCGCTTGTCCAGCACTCCGCGCACCCTTGACGGCCTGCCTGTCCCGGTGCTCCGCCCCTGCCCTCATTCCGCGTGCATGCAACAGCGTCGCGGTGGTGCACAGTGGGCCAGAAGACCGGTGGAGGCGGCCAAAACTCTAGACGCGTTTTGAGCTCCAGAGTCGCTAAAAGGGACTCGAACCGAACGTGTGACCCCACCAATGGATTGCTCCCCGGACGAGGAGAGTGGTGTGTGGCCTGTGTGGTGTCGGCCCGTCGGCCACGCGGGGGGCGGGCCGGGCCGGGCCGTCCGCCTGACGCAGCGACGCAGCCCCGCGACGGCGTGGACGTGTCTGGCCGCGTCTGACGCACCACCGCCTGGAGAAGGGAGGGGGGCGTGCGTGCCGCTCGAGGTGTAGACCCCTAGGCCTGTGACAAAGACACACCCACCCTGGGCGGGCTCTAATTTAAGTTCGAGCATGCCGAAACTTCGGTATTGTTTCTGGCTAACCACCTCACCACCCCCCACTCAGCGGAGTAACCACCCCGCATGTTGTATTTTTTTGCAACTAGCAATCGACCACGCGCCCCTGCGCCATGTCGCTCTATCATCTTTCTGGGAATAAGTGTCCCCACTGCTGGGTGCATTCCCTAGCCGGGCCTGCATGCTGCCGCCACGGGGTCGTGTGTGGGAGACACACTCGCGGTGGTCGCGTCACGACGGTACCGCGTACTAGAGTAGTGCGAGTGCGTCAGCAGGCGTCAGCGTGCCCAACTGACGCAGACGCTCCTCAAAAGAGTCGTTGGCTTCGGCCTTTTCGGTGGTCTCGGAGTCGCCCGTCCCTGCCCGTCCCTGCCCGGGAGGGACTGCGGGTTGTCCGCCCAGATCCCTATCCACTGTTTTTAAAGCGCGCGCCATAAGTCACGTCGCGAACTCGCGGGGCGCGCCGTTCGAAGCGGTCCCAAGAGGCGGCCGGGGCCTCTGCAAGTCGGCATGCACGTGGATGCCGATGATAAAGTGTCAGAAAGGGAAATTACCGCGACTGGTTTTTGTTTTTGGCGCCGGAATGCGCCAGTACGCCGCACGTCGTACGTAGTACGTGACGTCAGCCGATAGATGTCGCGCCGGTCGGATGCTCCACCTGCTGCCGCGCTGCTTGGCTGCCGCCAAATGAGCTGAGCCGCTGACGTCACCGCGGCTGTTTGTTGAAATGCTGCGGCCAATCGGGTTGAAGGCGTTTTTTATAGAGTGGCATTTGAATTGTTTCAGGCAACTTCCGAGCCGGCCCCACCCCCGGCACCATCCTCAAGAAGGTGTGCACCGCGGAGGAGCTGGCGTTCAAGGCCCTCATGAAGGACATGCTCAAGCCCTACGTGCCCGACTACAAGGGCCAGATCACCTCCGAGGAGGGAGATTGTATCCTTTTCAAACCAGAACATTTCAAATCTTTTTTTTTTTGACACGGCTCTTGAGTGTACGTGTGTACGTGTGTAGTTTTGTGTTATCCATGTCGTGTTTTGCCTTAACTCGTTGATTAGCTTATCTGCACCTGCAAGATCTCCTGAGCGAGTTCAACAAGCCGTGCGTCATGGACTGTAAGATGGGCGTGCGGACGTACCTGGAGGACGAGCTGAACAAGGCGCGCGGCAACCAGAAGCTGCGCAAGGACATGTACGAGAAGATGATCGCCGTCAACCCGGACGAGCCCACCGAGGACGAGCGCAGGGCGGGCGGCGTCACCAAGACGAGGTAAGGGCCGTGGGGGAATCCACCTGGAGAATCCAAGGTGTGCGCGTTGGACGTGCGCTTGGCATGAACACGATGGGCTAGACCAGAATTGCAGTGGCGTGAACGATGCTTGCTTTGCTCCACAGGTACATGGTGTTCCGTGAGACCATGTCGTCGACGGCCACGCTGGGCTTCCGCATCGAGGGCCTCAAGAAGAGCGACGGCCAGTCCAGCAAGGACTTCAAGACGACCAAGGACCGCGAGCAGATCAAGAAGGCGTTCCGGGAGTTCACCCGGGGCTGCCCCCACGCCGTGGTGAGTGTCCTCGGGAGTGGGACCAGCACCCCAAAATGAATCGCCCCTTCTCCAACTGCCCCTTTTCCCACGACCGGGAATTGGAATGCATGGAACCTGGAAGTGCGAAAGCCGTCCGCCAGCCAGGCGTTGAGATTCGTGTCTCGAGCCCCTAGTCAGTGTAGTCGCTGGGTTGGGCTGCTAAGCGCATAATGCGGTCCGAGCCGACACCGGCGGGGAGGGAGGGACGGGTAGCCCGGCGGCGCCTCGCAGCTTTCCGATTCACGCCAGCTTAAGATTTGACGCCGGTTTTTGAGACTTTGCATTTGCTTATCGTGGCGTGTCTCGTGTTGCAGAGCCGATACATCCAGCGACTCCGCGCCATCAAAGCCACGCTCGAGGTGTCCGAGTTCTTCGCGACGCACGAGGTGATTGGCAGCTCGCTGCTGTTCGTGCACGACGCCGACAAGGCCAACATCTGGCTCATCGACTTCGCCAAGTCGCGGCTGCTGCCGCCCGGAGTGGCGCCGATCACGCACAACGCGCCCTGGATCGAGGGCAACCACGAGGACGGCTACCTCATCGGCCTGCGCAACCTCATCGACATCTTCACCGAGATGGAGCTTAGCCCCGAGTCGCCGCCCACGCCGCCGCCCGAGCCGTCCACCTCGTCGTCGTCGTCCTCGGGTTCGGCGCCGTCCTCGGCCCCCGGCTCGGCCGACAGCAGCCCCCCCGACGCGTCGCCGCCGTCCAGCCCGGAAGAGTCCTCGCCGTGCCGAACCGTGCCGAGCCTCAACAGGAAGGACACGCTGGTGGCCCAGGTCGCCGACGAGGAGGCCAAAGAGGACAGCCCGCCGCCGTTTTCGGTGCAGCTGGAGTTGCGGCCGCACCCGGACGCCACCGCCCCCGAGGACGTCGTGCAGAGGCCCCAGCAGCAGCGGCTAGCCGCGGCGCCCGCCCTGCCCGTGCCCGTCCACATCAAGAAGACCGACACGGTGCTGGCGCTGCAGACGCCGGCCGAGGCCGCGGCGCTGGACAGGACAGAGTTGACGTGACCGCGAGCAGTGCGCCGGATAGTCTCCTTTTCCCCTTGTAGACGAGTCGGGCACAGCCTCGGCTCACCGACATGAGCGAGCGGTGCAGAGCGCAGAGCGTTGCCATGGAAGCGCTGCGCGGCGTGGCGTAACAGGGCGTAGCGTCGCACCGATGACGTCACCCGTGACGTGGCTGTGACGTCAGTGCGACATGTGCAGGATGCAACCGGGCAGCTGCCGCAGTGCGGAGCAAGAACTCTCGCGGCTGGCCCGTGTCAGACCGAAAGTATTGAAACCGAGAGTATAGTGTGTGTGAGTGTGTGCGTGTCTGTCTCTGTGAGTGTGTGTGGCGAGGAGTCGAAATCTCAGTGACGCGCGTTGCGGACCCGGGCCGGGAGCAGCGCAACGTTTCGTTGACTTTTATTTCCCAATTAGACTGAATGTGTTGACGGAGTGCGACCGTTGCGTGGCCTGCTGTGCCTGCCCACCGCTGGCTTCATGTGCACTCTTCGTCGAAGTCACAATTTTGTGGGTAATGTCAGGCAATGTGTTGCTGGAAGTGAAGGATTTGCAGTTTTAGTCATGTTCTACGATAGTTATGGCGTATAAGTGTACCAGTGACCTACTAAATAACTTCTGATTTTGATGCAGATTTTATGTCTTTCCTCTGTTTGAAACGACAACTTTTTTTGCATTCTATTAATGTTAAAATTTTAGAATATTTCTGCTACGTTAATAGTATTTTATGTCTTGTGTCGCAAGCCTGTTGAATGGTATTATATTTGTGTTCAATTTTTATGGGCTGAGTTGGTGGTTTTAGTGATGATTTCCAAGTGACTTATAATTTTATTATCACTATAGCCCATGAAATTGCAATTGAAATGAATGATGAATGACCTGTACAATACGGAAGTCACAATGTTACTACTGGGTGAATGTGATCTTCTTAGACCACTTTTATTTAACGTGAGATGACTTGTAGAATAAATGGATCTGTATATATTAAGTCTCATGCAGCAGTTGTAATGCTGCTCTTTAATTTATTTATTATTAAAAAAATCTTCATTTAAATTCTTTATTTGAAATGTTCCTCCAATCTGTGAATTAAAATGTGAAGTTGTACAGAAACTGCAGGGACATCAGATAACATGTCTTGGAATGTTGTTATTCCCTGAAGTGCAGCAAGAAACTAAATGGAGCAAGACCACTAAAGTATGTGTATTCGTACCTGAATTTAACATGTTTGTTACATATGTAATGTTCAATATTAAACACAAAGAAGAAAATTTGTACTGTTCAAAGAGAAATACAACTCTGGTTGGTATTTTGCTGATTTGCCCGATCTGTGTGGATATGTACGTTTATGTGGTTGTTGTAAAGACTGGTTAATAATGTGACATAATAAAGATCTTTACAATATTTTAATTTTCAGTTTGTTGTTTTTGATATTTCTTTAACAATGTATTTTATTTTTGCATAAAATATAAACTAAATAAAGTCAGATGGAAAATAAAATAAATTGCTATCATTTGATCGTGTGTCAAAAGGAGCTGGCCAAGTGCATGGCTTCCAGTATGTTGTGCTGGAGCACGCCCCAATGACTCCTGACACAATTTCGAAGACTATTTCAAACCTAAACAGTCTTTTTCTAGAAGAAAACTGGAATCGTTGTAGAGTTGGAGCATGCGCCAGAAAGGTGGGCAACCCATCGTACGCAGCCTCTTCACCGCACCAGAACTCAGCAAGCGTCACGGGAAAAGTCATTTTTTGTCGCTAATGTTACACGGGTTACACCGCGCCGGGAAGATAGACCACCCTTTTGGCACGTCACAGGGAAGCTACTTTTACACCCACCTCTTCGCAGGCTCGACACATGAGGCCTCGCCTTGAGCTACTTTTCAGTAACAACAATACACACAATTCAAGGTTAAAAATCGCTTACACAAGTCATGATCCTAGTCAGTTCAATTTACTATTCAAAAGCGTCCTACTGAGATATAATTACTAATTCAAACCTATAATCTTAAAATTACGATGAGTATAAATAGTCTTTGTACATAATGACTTTGGTCCATCTCGTTGAGCGACCGTACTGTGGCTTCAATGTCCTTAACCGTCCAGGCTTACACTTTTAGCTAGGCTGGTAAGTCATTATCGAGATAGGTGATGATGAAAAATACACGTTGACTCGCTGCCGTCGGCCAAGGGCCTACAACGGCAGTGCCAATAGGCCGATAGCCGTGCCGGGTAGGCAACCCATCGGGCCCCGGGTCCGAATGGCGATTGCGATGCGCGATGCGCTGGCCGTGGTCGGTCGCTCAGACTTCCCCCGCCTCGGCGCGGGCAAGTATGAAAATGTCAGTTCACGGCTTTTGAAGCCCGATGGTGGGTAGTATGATAAATCGGGCTTAGTTGGATGCTCCGTGCTGGGATGCCTCACAGAGGGAACGGTTTCCGAACGAAGTCCGCCTCCTCTTCCTCCTCGATGGCGGCGGGGACGCCGTCCGCGGGCCTGGAGCGGACCCTGGACCCCGTCAGCTCGGCCAGGATCTCGTCCAGGGTCTTGCCCTTGGTCTCGGGCACCACCAGGGCGATGAACAAGGTGCCGACGGCGGCGATGAAGGTGAACACGAAGAAAGTGCCGCTCTTGCCGAAGGCGGACGCCAAGTTCTGTGGACAGCCGAGTGGTTATCAACAACATGTCATAGCAGCAAAGTTTGAGGCGAGTTTGAAAGCAAATTATATTCCAGTTGGCCCTAGTCCATTGACTGACCGTGAAGAACTTGGTGACGAAGAAGGCCATGAGCCAGTTGGCCCCGCAGGCCACGGACGCCGCCGCCCCCTTGACGCTGGGCGAGAAAACCTCGCTGACGACGCACCAGGGCAGCGGGCCGAGGCCGAGCGAGAAGGCGGTGATGAACACAGCCACGGCCACGAGCGGCAGCCAGGTGATGACCTGCATGCCGTCGGGGTGGACATTGGCCAGGTGGAAGTAGGTGCCCAGCGTGGCCAAGCAGATCGTCATCACGCCGCTGGACAGCAGCAGCAGCACGCGCCGGCCGGCGCGGTCGGCCAGCACCATGGACAGGAACGTGGACGCCACCTGCACCACGCCCATGATGATGTTGCACTGGTCCGGGTCCATCGACGAGCCCGAGGCCTTGAAGATGTCGGACGCGTAGGCGATGACGGCGTTGACGCCGGACAGCTGCTGGGCGGCCATGAGCCCCAGGGCCACCACCATGCCCTTGATGGCCACGCGGGACTTGAACAAGTCCCTGACGCCGGACTTGGTCTGGGCCGACTCCTGGAGCACACAGGTCAATCAGCATCGGGGTGGACTTGAGCGAGAGAAGCTCGCATCGCCCCACTCACCATGATGGAGTGCCTCATGGCGGCCATCTCCTCGCTGACGTCGTACTCCGGGCCGCGCAGCCACTGCAGGGAGGCGCGTGCGCGCTCGGACAGCCCGCGGCTCAGCAGGAACACGGGGGACTCGGGCATGGACCAGAACAGGGCGGCGTACACGACGGGCAGGGCGATGTTGACGTAGGCCAGGTGCACGGGGTTGCGCAGCAGGCCGAGCACGAAGCCCAGCAGCATGCCGACCGTGATCTGGAGCTGGAAGAAGGCGCCCAGCGTGCCGCGCACCGACGGCTCGGCCACCTCGGACACGTACATGCCGGCCACCACGGACACGGCGCCGATGGATATGCCGCCCAGCGCGCGGCCCAGCAGCAGGCACGTCGCGGAGGCGGTGGCGGACATGAGCAGCCAGGACACCACCATGGGCACGGACAGCAGCACCAGCGTGCGCTGCCGGCCCAGCCGGTTGGCCGCCATGCCGGCCACCAAGCTGCCTGCCAAGCCGACACAATTCTGCTTTCAATTTGGTGTTTTCAAACCCCGTTGTCGTCCACTGCTAGGACTGGGTGCTGCACTTCGTTCGCCCCTCGGGCAATCCATTTTAAATCAGTCGCATTTTCACATCAGTAAATGATTGTACTCACCGCCGCAAGCCCCGATCATGAGCATGGAGACGACCCACGAGAAGTGCTCCAACGACAGCATCGCCTGCCCGTCATCCTCCGTGGCGTTAGCGTTGGCCGTGGCGTTGTTGCCCTTCTGCACGAGGTCCGCGGACACAGAGGCCGACCAAGAGAAGTACGTTCCCGCACACAGGGCGCCCAGAGTGGCTGCAAGAGTAATAATATCGAGTCTGATGAATGCTGTGTGACCGCGTGACCGTCGGCACGGGCGCCACCGGGGTTGAGTGGCCCAGGATCCCGATATCGCGAGTTGAGTCGTCGTAGCCGACGCGATGGGGTTTACCGAGGGAGCATCCTGAGGCGCTACGCCGACAGGAGGAAACGACCGTCGCAGGCGCTCGCCCTCCGCAGGAACAGCCGCTGCAGGGAATGGCCGCAAACCGCCCACCACTGCGCTTGGATGTCTAGCTCCCAAACTAGTTACTACGCTAACCTAGGTCGCCACCGCGAGCGTGCGGCGGCTCGGCGCGCGCAGCGCCATCTCGCGGCGACTCGCGGAACCTCGTCCGCGCGCGAGGCCAGTTTGAGCGGTGACAGCTGGAAAGCCATCTTAATTATTATAAATATTAGTGTTTTGCGTCACTGCTATGCATGACCAAATTAAGTTAGGCTTCTGACGAAACCTTGCATTCATCTATAGGAGCAGCTAGCGTAATGTCGCATGGATAGTTCCACTCGACCCCATCTGGGGCACTGCTTCCCAAAATTTAAGTCCGCAAAGGATGGACCTTTCGTCTACTACAGCACCTTTTTCTTTCTCTCTGTTTGGAATGATCTATTGGATTGCTTCGAGATTCTCAGAAATCTGGTTATCGCCGGCTTCTGCCCCGCGCGTCATAGCATCACAGCGGGGGAAAGAGGGGGGGGGGGGGGGGGCAAGGGCAGGCCGGAGCAACTTTGGCGCGCAAACAGTACACTGTCAAAACCTTTCCAATCAAGCCCGATTTTCTTTTTCAAAACTAGGAGGTGTTTGCGATAGCAGCGACGCCAATGTCGGTGAACAAAGCGTCCACAACTGCAGTCGGTTCCTGCAAACGCTGCTCCAGTGCGGCCCGCGATGGACCGCCTGCGCCTGCAGGGTAGGCAACCCAACGTGCGGCGCACATGCAGTCGTGCAGTCAGCCAACTGGTACACTGCTTTTAAGCTCGGCGAAGTTATCGGCTTGGGGCCACCCGCACCAGCCAGCACACCTCCCTCGCCTCAACGACACTGGCGGTTGAAGGGGTTATCTCCCGATTCCCGTACGATTTTCCTAATCTGTTTTTCCTAATCTGATTTTCCTAAGGGACTCGTTTCCGAATGGATACTTTTCCTAAGTCATTTTTCCTAAATCTCAAATTTCCTACGATTTCCTAAAATGTTCCTAATAATGTAAATCAGTAGGAAATTTTTAATCAGGGAGATCACTGGCCACACAAGCTGAACGTCTGAATTTCAGTTACAAATTTGGTTCCAAATTCACAATGGCAGAAATAGTTGGAAAACAATTGCATCCTAATGGATTTCTATACTACACAAAAGGAACTCTGTGAAAGGAAAATTTTATTGGATTTGTAAGCGCGGCAAGACCGAAAAAACGTGTAAAGCAACTGCAATTGAGGGATCCTTTGACTTAACTTAGCATTTAACTAACACTGCTTTCGTAACGTAACATAAGACAATGTTCGCTAAAGGTTAAGTGTGCGGACTTTTGAAAGTACTTCCAAAAGTATATCCACACAAATTCGAGACAACAAAATAATAACTTATCCTTTTGAAAACTTTTTTAAACGTTAAAGGTAATAATTTTAAGTACCCTATGAAAGGTGATATTCAGCTGTATTCCGTTTTAGGAAAAAAAGCTTTAGGAAAAGCGTATTTAGGAAAGCCTGATTAGGAAAATTTGCTTTAGGAAGATTGTCTTCAGGAAAAATACACATTAGGAAAAATGGCTTAGGAAAACTGGGCGGGAACGTATCTCCCCCCTCCCCTCCCCTCCACTCCCCGTCGCCGCAGCGACGCCACCTCGGTCGGACTTAATGTCGCGAACGCAGCGAATGCCACCAGGCAGGCAGACGGCAAGCACTTCGTCTTTCGAAAGGCTGAGCGTCTGAAGGAGACCCCCCAAGGGGAAGGGTTTTGCCACTGGCGTTTATAAATATAGAAGAAATGTTCTTTGAGGCCCCAAGAAAAGTACTGAGGCAATCTCGGCTTATGATTTGAGCGCACACGTAACACCGTCACCACACTGTCGCCAGAATGCAGATATCAACGCGTCGACCTCTCGGCCCCCAACTTGTTGTGACTGCGTTGCTGACGTTTTAACAGCGGCGTAAAATCTGCGCGGACTTGGTGCGTTCGAAATACTGCGCGATTGATACAATAACCGTCCTTCGCGAAAAGGAATCAGTTGACCCCTTACCTGTGAACGCCGCCAAGAACTGCGGCACCTTCCGGGCCTCCGTGGTTGTGGTGACGATGGTGAGGGCGGTGCGGCTGTTCTCCTCGAGGAGGATCTTGCCGGGCCCCTGCACCAGGCGGGTGGCTGCGGGGCAGAGAGCACACGAGGTCAAGCACTGGCGTCGGCAGCCGGGGCCCAGCGAGCCGTTTCCGAGAGCGTTTCGTCGCCCTGTCTCTCTCGCACCCCGTGCGACGGAGACGGCGAAGCGTCTTTCGGAATCAGTCTGCTGGGCGTTGGCAGAGCTCTGCGGATTCACGTTTTGGCTTCACGTTGGCGTTCTCCAGCGAGCCGCGGCGGCCGGGGCAAGGGCGGTGTTTGACGGGCGGCTGCTGCGCGGGGCACAGGTGGGTGGCGGACCCCCGGCGCGCGCGCAGCCCCTGGCGCAGCCCCTGCCGCAGCCCGTGGTGCGGCACGCGCATCTTGGCGGCGCCGGCGACGAAGTGCCGCGGAACCCAAAAGCCGAATCGCCGCGGCGGCGGCAAAGAAACGACTGCTTCGGGAAACTCGAAACAGCCGCGCACGAAAAGAGTGGCGGTCGTGCAGTACACTGTCACGCACTACCACGCGTGCGGCGAGCTGATACGACGCGGCACTGAAAAAGGCGGCCTTCATGCTCAATGTTTTGACGTATTGACGCCCAAGGCCGGCCAAGGCCGCGAGCCACTGCCGGACGCTCGATTTGATATCCTTTACAGACTTGGCATATCGTAATTGACAGGCAAAAGCGCAGAGAAAAATGTTGAGGAGTACATTTTTCAGACGGGCAGTGCAGAAGTGTCGAGTCTGTTTTTAAATTGCCATAGAAGTGCTTCGGAATGATCGTGAACGCGATCACTATCAAGCAGTACAGCGGTTTTTTAAAAAAAATATGAAATATTCAAACGTAATTACATTGTGATTCTCAAGACCGTTAATTATTCTGGTTTAACAAGGCGTTTGATATCTCCTCGGAACTGTGATTCATGACATCACTCAGTTTCTCAGACGATAGGATAGGAAAACACGTGGGACTAAGTCACGATGTCGCCCTGACTCTGACAAGTCCGTCTGCACGGGGCGAGCGTGAAGCCAGTCGATGTCAGCAGGACTGATTGCACTGCAATGTGACAGCCGCGGATCGGATCCTGGAACTCACGACGCACTGCTCACCTGGATTCATTTGCGCGGGCGGCACCGGCATTTTGTCACAGTGTTGTCCGCGTCAGTGCCTGCAACAATAACACGTCTAGTGAGAGAATAGAAAGAGCGAAAGAAAGATGGAAAGAAACACAGCGCGACGAATACGAGCTTCTGGGTTTCTTGGTTTCTTTCGCGCCACCGCCAGCCTTGAGCCCACCGCCTTGCCGGGCACTCCAACATAACGCGGCAGAAAATGAATGCGCTTGCACACGCAGTTTTATCAGTTTTGTAAAATTACGCGGAGGCAATCGCGCCACGCATCTGCCCACTCCGAGCACGCCCAGCACGGCCAGCAGCCTCATTCCGAGAGCCGTTTTCGTCGCTCTGTCTCCATCGCACCGGCACGGGACGCCCCATGAGTGCGAGAGAGACAGAGCGGCGAAAACGACTCTCGGAATGAAGCTGCAGCGCCGCCAGCACGCTGCCAAGGCTTAGCGCGGCGCCAGCAGCGAGCCAGCCGCCGTCAGATTGCATCGAAATCGAAAACGCTTGAACGCGACGCGACGCCGCTAGAAGAAGGGCGTCTAAGCGAGCGCGGTGGCAGATCAGCGTCGCGCCGGATGCAAGTGCCTGCGTGCCACAGAAAATCCGAAGAAGGTACGCGGGAGGCTGGGGTCAGCTGGAGTACACTGGAAGTCCTCGCAGTCGGGAGGAAGGTGGATCGCAAGGCTCCGTTAGAATAGAGTATTTGTGATCCGGTTTGGTGGCCAGGTTTTCAACTCACCTCAAAATTCGAGTTTAGTGTTTTTCTCTATGGCGGTCGTCACGATGCCTCCACGTCTCGGAAATCCGAAAGCAAAGCTCCACCGAGGCAGATGTCCGCTCTTCCTGCGCACTCGGACGCACTCCTCTCACACACTCACACGCGCACACACACACACGCACGCACACATAACACTTTGTCGGTGCAGTCCCGCGCACAGCGCCCTGGTGCCTGACGGTTCGAGACGAAGTGAGGATGCACCGAACCGGGCAGGGTGAGCGTCGCCCAATGAATGAGCAGCAAAATAAAGGAAAGGCCATCAGTCTCTCTCCCTTCCTTTTTCTTCTATCTATTCTCCTCCCTGTCTGTGGGGAAGGGGTGCAGTTTGCGCGATTATTCCACTGAAGAAAGATACATAAAAAGAGGCGCGGATAAGAAGGAGAGACCGAAGAAAAAAATAAAAAGAGGTCTCGCTTTGATCTCGTGACCGCACTATCAATGGAGTAACAGAGGCAGCCTCCCAGAGATTAGTCCCCAGCGGCAGCGGCAGCACCCACACTGCTATCTGTCAAGAGCAAAGCCAGTATCTGAAATCGAGCGCCGCGTTCCATCCAATTACTATTATTTTAATGGATGACATTCGCTTTTTTTTGCAGTGTCCTTTCCATGGACGCGCGGAAAACGCGTGGTGACTGCGGCGTGCGTAAGTGTGGCAGTAAAGTATCGGCGTGCCTCCCTAATGCGATGAGTGGACAACCACGCCGCGAACGCCGCGAACCACGTGGCGCCTGCACTGCAGCACCGCCTCCGTCTCTCTCGCGCCCCGCTGGACGCCACATCAGTGCGAGAGAGACAGCGACTGCTGTATAGGTGACTCGCGGGTGGAATAAGAATTTTTTTCGACGCGTTTCCTGGTTGACCCCGTGTAAATGGAAGCTGCGAGCACGGCACTCACTTAGGCTTATTGCTCCTTCTGGAGTTTACACACTCACTCACACTCACTCACTCACACACGCTCACACATACGCGCGCGCGTACTCGAGAGGCCTTCGATTGAAGACTCCGGTAAAGTGCCGGCGGTCGAACGGTACAGTTTGTGCCGCTTGGCCGCGTGACCCACGCACCGAGATCTATCTCCGCGAGTCCGCGTCCCGGTTGCCGCCCTGCCTCGCCCTGCTCGCCCACATCCTGTGCCAGGGGCACCACGCACCACCTCTCGCGGAGAGGTCGTAGAAAAATATAACAGCGGGAAGGAAGTCGGACGAATTTCGGCAGGTCGGACAAAAAGAGGTCGTACAAACGATGTAGGCCCCGCAGCGGCCGGCCGGCGTAGTCCGCAGGACCTCGGCCAGGAATTCAATGACTTCTTTCGTTGGACAAGCAAGCCGATCGGTGCGAAGGGGACACGCCGGGAGCCGCTGACACCGCCAAGCCATCGCAATGTCGCCCTGACAGTCCAACCGACAGCCCGGCTTGACTCGCCCCACGCCTAAGTGCTCGCTTTGTGGCGGGGCGGGCGGGGCTGGCAGGGCTCGGCGACGCCTGGCGTATCGGCACCGCTGCAGTGGAGCGTGTTCCAGAGACAGAGGGAGAGGGGGAGCCTTTGGTCCAGTCGAGAGGTGTCGGACAAGAACACGGTGGTGTGTGTGTGTGCGCGCGGGGCGAGCGGGGATATAAGGTCTGGTCAAGTTGTCGCAATGTCACGTGCCTCTCAAATGCGAATCCTTTCTGCTGCCCCGCCCCACCCCACCCCGTCACTTTCTGATCGAGCTGGCCTTACTGTCGCCGTCCCGGACGCAGACGGCGCTGGCGGGCGCCGCGTGCGGTTCCCGGAGCGCGGGCGGAGGGTGGAGGGGGAGGGTGGGGCACTGCCATGGGCACTGCGCGCCGCGCGCCGCCGCTACCGTGCGCCTGTCGGTGCTGTCGGCCTGTCCCGGAGCCCCCGGCCGGCAGCGCGGCAGCGCGGCAGCACGGCACGGCAGCCTCCAGGGCAGCAGCTCCGGTTATGGATGCTTTACGGTCGGCAGCCTACTCGGCCTGTGACGGCGACGACGACGACCCACGGCTGCGTCTCAATCTGCGTGGCGGGCACCGACGCGCTCCCACCTCGCCCCGCTGCTGCACTGCTCCGCCCTGCGCCGCCCCCCTCGATGGACTCGTTGTTTCGGTCGACCGTTCGTTCTCGGTGGCGCGGCCGACGGGCCGACGCCTCGCGTGTGCAACACGCGCAACAGGCCGTCCATCGTGCCGCCCGTTCCATTCAATTTGCCGCGCAAAGTCGACGGCGCCATTGGAGGAGATGACCGGTTGGTGTTCGTATCGCCGCTATCGCCGACATGCAGCGGCCCGGCAGGCAGGCCGGCCGCAGCGGCGAGGCCGCGCGGCGCTACGGGACCGAAGGGGCGGCACACTGAACACACACACACACCGCGCGCTCGTGTACGCGCACACACACACACACAGCACATTAATCAAGGAAACGTCACTCGATACACCTGCGAGTCTCCACGGGACCTCACACACCTCACACTCGCCTCTACTAGGTTGCACCGCCCCGCCGCCCTCGCCTGCCTGGCCACTGCCCGCCTGGCTCGCCACACCCTGGCCCGCTGGGGGTGGGGGAAGGGCAAGGGCAAGGGGAAGGGGAAGGGGGACTTTTGCTTTCCGTCAAGGGCGGCCGCACTCTCGACCAAGGCCAGTCCCAAGGACGCGGGCAGGCCAGCCCGCCTGGCGGGTAGGCAGTCCCGTTACACCGGGCTGTGTTGCGGCGCTGCCTACCCCCCCTTGCCACAGGCGGTGTGATTCGTCCCGGCTGTCCCGTCCCGGCCTGTCCGCGCCGCGCGAGTCGCGTCGCCCCGAGGTGAGAATATGCAAACGAAGCACACGCGACGATGCGGGACGCCGGGACGCTCACGCGACACTCCTGCGTCTCCGCGGATTGGGGGTGTCTGTTTTATGACGGACGCGATGATAAATAAAGATAATGAGTCCGGCAAGGCTGAAGCCATTTTATGCGTTCCGTTAAAGACCTCCCCGCCGTGGCCGCCGCTGCCGCCGACCGCCACTTTACGAAATCCTCGCCTCGTTTGTGCGCGAGTGGACGTCAACGCAAAACAACGGGGCTCCGCGGGTGCGCGGCCTGCACTCACACCGAGCCGCACTTTCGTCCGTGGAGTGAGGGGTCCTTGGCTAATTATCGTCAGCCACGACGCACAACGCGCGGCCGGCGGGCATTGCTTCTCGTTAATCCCGCGACAGGCAACGCGCCCGATCCGCCTAAAATCTTGCAGCGCGCAATGCACTTGACTGCGCTTTGGCCGGCCGGCCGGCCGGGAGTAGAATGTAGGTCTGCACCGCGGCGTGCCTGATACCGCCCCCCCCCTCCGCCTCCCCCGCACCCCCAGTGGCCAAGGAGTTGGCGGAAAGCCTGCACGAAGCCTTTCTTTGACGCACGTGTGCCAACGCTCACACACACATGCAAACACACACACACACACACACACACACACACACACACACACACACACACACACACACACGTGCGCGCATTTGGAGGTAAGCGCGTCTGGGAGGATGTGGGCTAACAGTTTTAAGCCAATCAGCGCGATCAAGGCGCATTCGGGGATAATGCTGTTGTGGCAACGCGGCGCCGGCCGGTCCCACTGCCCCAGCCGAAGGTGGTAAACGAGGGAATCCCGTCCTTGACTACTGGAACGGACCGGCCAATCCGTGCCAAGCAGATCGGGCGGTTCATTTAAATTACAGAAACTGCTGCACTTTCAAGTGTCGGAACGAAGGCCTCCTCCGTTTCGTTCAAGTCTCTGGTGGTGAACTAGATCATTGAAACGAACCCGCTGTGCATTTACAGCGCAGAAGACATGACATCCCCCTCTCCCCAGCCCCTGGCAAGGCCCCCAGCAAGGCCCCTAGCGTATCGCTATGGCCTCCAGGATCTCTGGTTGTCACTAGGAGGACTCCACTACACTGCACTGCCGCGAGGAGCAGGTCCATGCCAGCCAGCACGCATCAACTGACTTACCCACGGCGCGTCACATCAGAGCGCGGACACCTCCAGGCCACCCGCCCCGCCCCGCCCCGCCTCGCTGCATAGATACCACACGCAGGAAGAAATCCACCGATGCCGTTGGCTGCGGCCGGCCCGCCCGGCCCCCGGAGCCCCCGAGCCCCCTACGCCGCGCTCTGCTACGCTCTCTGCAGGCGAGGGGGGCCCGGGAGGGTAGCTGAGGGTATATAAGAGAGAGTGCGCCTGCAGTTGCCGCTAGTGGTGGACCAAGCCAAGCTGAGCGACAATGAAGTGCTTGGTGAGTAGAGCGGCCAGTCTGCGGGGTGGGGTCGCGTGCAAAGTGACCTGCAGTGTCCTGGTGTTCGGACCGTGACAACGGGGGCGCGTTTATCACAAGGCCTCCAACTGGGAATACTTTGTTTGAAAAGCGATTATGAATTGTTAAAAAGAACGTCACGCGTGTGTTCACTCTGAGAATTTAAGTCACGGGAAGGTTGGGTCACGCTGCCCGTGAAGAAGCATGTGCTTCGTGGTAGAGTGGGGGGCGTGCCCCTGGCAGTTTTGACGGTGGATCTTTCGTGGGGACCTCTGGGGCCCCGTCAACAAAGCGCCTGAATTGTGCCAAGCCGAGTGCTCGCCAGTCGCGCCGACCTGGATAGACTGCAGCATGTGCAGCATGGGCAGCCTGGGCAGCATGTGCAGCATGGGCAGCATGGGCAGCGCGGGGTTCGGTTTACACGCGCAGCCTTGGGTTTCGCCTCGCCGCCCCCGTCCTCTCCGCTCCGCTTTGCTCCACACGCGGCGTGCCGCGGCGTGCCGCACGGGCGTGGCGTCGGGCTCCACTCCGCTCTATCGGTTCAACGAACAAATAGTTGGACGGGGCGCGCGGCGGCAGCGCGGCAACATGATGCAAGACTGCGCGCGGCTTGCGGACATTGTTTATGCGACGCCCAGCGGGCAGCCGGCCATATCGCGAGGAGAGCGAAAAGGGACGCGACGCTGGAAGCCAAGGCGCTCTTGGTTCAGCCCAAGGTCGCGGTGGGCAGAGGACCAGTCCAGGCTGACGCGTCTTGTGCTCAGCATTCCCCCAAACGCCCCTCGAATCAAACGCGTGTTGGTACCGATGGATTGCTGTTCCAACACGGAGTCCATTGGTACCCTCATGGGCTTGATTCGGCCCCTTGGAGGGCAAGGGAGGTCCCGTTGTGTCCGGGCAACTACTTGCCCTGGTTGCCTAGACGGCGTAGGGCGGGTCTCTTGGGAGTTGGTTCGCGGCGGCACAGTGGGGTGGGGGCCGGCCTGCCACGGCCTGCCACGGCCTGCCACGGCCTGCCATCGCCGCCTTGTCCGCGGCGTCGCGTTGTCTCGGAATGCGCCAATGCGCCCCGATCTGCCATTATGGAAACAATCATCATCTCCGCGCAGTAATGAGTGGACTGCATAGCGACCTCGCGAAGCCACGCCCAGCCTGGCGCAGCCTCACCCTTCTCTCTCGCACCTGCAGGCAGTCCAGCAGGCGGGGAAACGGCGGGGATTAATCCCACTGACCGACTTGAACGCCGCATTAGCGCGGATCGTGGAAGATGCGTGCTATGGGCGCGTGAATGGTCACGGGGAGGGGAGGAAGGGGCAGGACTCGGTGATACAGTTGGCCAGCGCCCATGGTCAGCGGCGTGCCGCGGCGCCTTGGCAGCGCGCACCCAGCCCGCATGGACACACGGCACGGCGCCATCCAGCAGCGACAAATGCCCTGCTCTCGAGCCGAGCCGAACGGATTCAATCGAACGCAAATCCTTGCCGGCCGCAGCGTCGCCACGCCCCGCCACGCCCCGCCACGCCCCGCCACGCCCTTGGGGCTGCACGCTCCGCCACGCTCATTACGTCGCGCTCGTGCTGTCCGAGCGCGTTATCAAGCCGAGCGCCTCTCTCCTGGGGAAGGGGACGCCGGGACGCCCAGCGCACGGAGTTACGAGTGTCAAGGCCGCGCCGCCGCGCTGCATCGCGAAGGGCAGGCCAGGGCAGGGCAGGGCGCGTCCGGCGCGACACGCCCCACTTGGCACCACTTGACGCACTCTCATTTTCACGTGTCTTTCCCGCAGGTGGTGTTGTGCTGCGCCGTGGCGACGGCCATGGGCTCGCTCGTCCAGCTGGGCGCGCCCATCGTCACGTCGCAGAGCGTGATCCAGGACACGCTGGGCCAGTTCAACTACGCCTACTCGGCAGGAGCGTCCGCTAAGCAGGAGGTACAGACGCACGACGGCGTCACCAGGGGCTCGTTCTCGTACGTGGACGGCAACGGCCACGTGCAGACGCGCACCTACGTGGCCGATGACGTCCACGGCTTCAGGGTGGCCGCCACCGACCTGCCCGTCGGCCCGGCCCCCAGCGTGGTCGCCGCCCCCGCCATCCTGTCCCACGGCGTGCCCACCGTTCTCGGTGGCCCCGTGCTCGGACTGGGCGCCGGCATCATCGGCCACGGTGGAGTCGTAGATACTCCCGAGGTGACCGCCGCCAAGATCCAGCACGCCCAGGCTCACGCTGAGGCACTGGCACGCGCTCATGGACGCCGTCGCCGTAGCCTGAACCTCGGCCTGCTCGGTCTGGGCGGCCTCGCCAGCCCCGCCGTGTCCTGGTCCACCACTCCACTGATAAGCTCACCTCAGCTCATCGCCGCTCCTCAGGTCGTCGCTGCCCCTCAGCTTGTCGTCGCTCCCCAACTCCTCGCCGCCCACGCCCCCACCGCCGTGGTCGTCGGACCCCAGGAACACCCCGTCGCCGTCGCCGGCCCCGCTCAGGGCGCCGCCGTCCTCCAGGGCCCCAAGTCCGCTGCCACCACCGTGTCCGGCCCCGCCGGCGCTGTCATCGCCCCGTCTACCTCTGCTGGAGGCATCAGCAGCGCCAATGGTGTGACTGTGCTCACCCCGCCCTCCAACCCCGGCGCCATCCTGGCTCCCCCCGCGCAACCCGTGCTCGCCATCGCTTCACCCCACGGTGGAGTCCACTGGCGCAAACGCCGTAGCCTGAACCTTGGCCTCCTTGGTCTTGGTCTTGGCGGCCATGGTGTCGCTACCTCATACGCGTCTGTGATCTCCGCTCCCCAGCTCATCGCTGCCCCTCAAGTCATTGCTGCTCCCCAGCTCGTCGCCGCTCCTCAGCTCGTCGCCGCGCACGCCCCCACCGCCGTGGTCGTTGGACCCCAGGAACACCCCGTCGCCGTCGCTGGACCCGCCCAGGGGGCCGCCGTCCTCCAGGGCCCCAAGTCCGCCGCCACCACCGTGTCCGGCCCCGCCGGCGCCATCATTGCCCCCTCCACGTCTGCTGGTGGCATCAGCAGCGCTAACGGTGTGACCGTGCTCACTCCCCCTTCCAACCCCGGTGCCATCCTGGCTCCCCCCGCGCAACCCGTGCTCGCCATCGCTTCTCCCCACGGTGGAGCTCATTGGCGCAAACGCCGCAGCCTTAGCCTGCTTGGCCTCGCCGGTCACGGAGTCGCTTCTTCTTACGCCAGCACTGTCCTGCACTCCTCTCCCATCCTGGCCGCCCCCGCTTGGGGACCCCAGCTCGTGGCCGCCCCCCAGGTGATCGCCGCTCCTCAGCTCGTCGCCGCGCACGCCCCCACCGCCGTCGTCGTCGGACCCCAGGAACACCCCGTCGCCGTCGCCGGCCCCGCTCAGGGCGCCGCCGTCCTCCAGGGCCCCAGGTCCGCCGCCACCACCGTGTCCGGCCCCGCCGGCGCCATCATCGCCCCCTCCACCTCTGCTGGTGGAATCAGCAGCGCCAATGGTGTGACTGTGCTCACCCCGCCCTCCAACCCCGGCGCCATCCTCGCTCCCCCCGCGCAACCCGTTCTGGCCATCGCTTCTCCCCACGGCAGCGCTCACTGGCGCAAACGCCGTAGCCTGAACCTCGGCCTCCTTGGTCTTGGTCTTGGCGGCCATGGTGTCGCTACCTCATATGCCTCTGTGATCTCCGCCCCTCAGCTGATCTCCGCTCCCCACGTCATTGCTGCTCCTCAGCTTATCGCCGCTCCCCAAGTCATCGCCGCTCCTCAGCTCGTCGCCGCGCACGCTCCCACCGCCGTGGTCGTCGGACCCCAGGAACACCCCGTCGCCGTCGCCGGCCCCGCTCAGGGCGCCGCCGTCCTCCAGGGCCCCAAGTCCGCTGCCACCACCGTGGCCGGCCCCGCCGGCGCCATCATCGCCCCCTCCACCTCGGCTGGTGGCATCAGCAGCGCCAACGGCGTCACCGTCCTGACCCCGCCGTCCAACCCCGGTGCCATCCTGGCTCCCCCTGCTCAGCCCGTTCTTGCCATCGCTTCTCCCCACGGCGGTGCTCACTGGCGCAAACGCCGTAGCCTGAACCTTGGCCTGCTTGGTCTTGGTCTTGGCGGCCATGCCGTTGCATCCTCATACGCGTCTGTGATCTCCGCGCCCCAGCTCATCGCTGCCCCTCAGCTCGTCGCCGCTCCTCAGGTGATCGCCGCCCCTCAACTCGTCGCCGCCCACGCCCCCACCGCCGTGGTCGTTGGACCCCAGGAACACCCCGTCGCCGTCGCAGGCCCCGCTCAGGGCGCCGCCGTCCTCCAGGGCCCCAAGTCCGCTGCCACCACCGTGTCCGGCCCCGCCGGCGCCATCATCGCCCCCTCCACCTCGGCTGGTGGCATCAGCAGCGCCAACGGCGTCACTGTCCTGACCCCGCCGTCCAACCCCGGTGCCATCCTAGCTCCCCCTGCTCAGCCCGTCCTGGCCATCGCTTCTCCCCACGGTGGAGCTCACTGGCGCAAACGCCGCAGCCTTAGCCTTCTTGGCCTCGCCGGTCACGGAGTCGCCTCTTCTTACGCCAGCACCGTCCTGCACTCCTCTCCCATCCTGGCCGCCCCCGCTTGGGGACCCCAGCTCGTGGCCGCCCCCCAGGTGATCGCCGCTCCTCAGCTCGTCGCCGCGCACGCGCCCACGGCCGTGGTCGTCGGACCCCAGGAACACCCCGTCGCTGTCGCCGGCCCCGCTCAGGGCGCCGCCGCTCTGATCGGCCCTAAGTCCGCCGCCACGACCCTGGCCGGCCCTTCTGGATCCATCATCGCCCCGTCCGCGTCCGCTGGCGCCGTCAACAGCGCTAACGGTGTCACCGTCCTCACCCCGCCCCACAACCCCGGTGCCATCATCACCCCTCCCGTCGCCCCCGTCGCCGCTGTCGCCGCCCCCGTCGTCGCCCTCGGTCACGGTGTTGAGCACTGGCGTCGTCGCCGCAGCCTCTTGCCCCTGGCGCACGCTGCCCCCACCGCCGTGGTCGTCGGACCCCAGGAGCACCCCGTTGCCGTCGCCGGCCCCGCTCAGGGCGCCGCCGTCCTCCAGGGCCCCAAGTCCGCCGCCACCACCGTGTCCGGCCCCGCCGGAGCTGTCATCGCCCCCTCCACCTCTGCTGGAGGCATCAGCAGCGCCAACGGCGTCACCGTCCTGACCCCGCCGTCCAACCCCGGTGCCATCCTGGCTCCCCCTGCTCAGCCCGTCCTGGCCTACGCCGCCCCCGCCCACAGCGTGCCCGTCGCCGTGCAGGCTGCCGTGCCCGCCGTTCACGCGGCCCCCGTCCTCAGCGGCCTCGGCGTCGTTGGAGTTCACGGCGGTGATGATGGTTCCTACGTGAGCGACGGCCTCGAGGGTGCCTACATCAGCGACGGCAGCGATGGCGCCTACGTGAACGACGGCAGTGATGGCTCCTGGGACGATGGCTCTCACTACCGCCGCCGTCGTAGCCTCCTGTCCCTGGCAGTTGTGGGCCCCGCCGACCACGGCGCTGCCATCGTCGGCCCCGCCGCCCCTGCCACCACCCTGGCCGGCCCTGGCGGCGCTGGCGCCGTGATCCAGCCCGCCACCGCTGGCGGCCAGGTCATCACCAACGGCCACGGCAGCACGGTGCTGGTGGCGCCCCAGGCCCCCGCCACCGTCCTCGCCTCCCCCGTGTCCGCGCACGGCGCTGGTGCCATTCTGCTCGGCTAGACAGGATCAAAATACAGACTGAAAGCGAAAAAAGATCTTTTATTTTCTTTCCGAGCGAAATGCAATGTTGATGGTCTTGCCGCCGCCGCCCTTCTGCCGCCCGGCAGGTAGATCGACATTGCATTTCGAAAAGAAGAAAAAAGCGACGAACGCGAGCCCTGGGCTCGAGTGTGATTTTACGTGCCTTTTCACAGTGCGTTGCTTGTGCATGGACGCCGTGTCGCAGCCAATGTTTTGAAAGAAATAGACACGACGCCCAAACACACGCAACACGGTATTGTTTTGTATAAACGCATAGCCAATGATTATTTATAGAACTGTACCATGCGTACGCTACTGGTCATTTTCCCCGATGCCTGTGTTATGAAACTGCCACGATGTGTGTACATAAACGAAATAAAATACAAAGTGAAAAACAATTGAACAGTTGGAGTGGTTATTCCGGGCTTGCCTTTTGTTTCCGCCATCACTCTCCATTTCACTCGCCTCGTTCGCTCGCGACTCACTCCTCCTCACCCTCGTCACTCTCATTTTCGAGCGGCCGGGCTGGGCGCTGTTTAGTAAACAGTGTTTACGTACGTCACCTCCGGTACAGTCGAAAAGAGTCACAACTCTGGCACAAGCAAGCCAGCGAACACTGCCGCCCAACTCAAAAGAACTGTTGCTCTTTCATACGCAAGTTTCGCGTTGTCTGACGAGGTTACATTTTTTGTGGCGGTGTAACGTCATGCAAACAAGCGGGGCGCGCCAACTGAGCGCAGCCTTGAATCGATCCACTGGCAGAGGGTTTTCGAGACACGTGCTCCTGCACGGAAAAGAAGTGCAGTGGCGACGAGTGTGCGCACACTGTGCGGCCAGGCAGCACTCGACGTCCCGATCTATAAACATATCACTCGCCCTCCTCCCCTCCGGTTCCCTGTCAACGGCACGGCGCCTCGCGGCTGGAACGCGTTTTAATGGCGCGCGGATGAAAAGAGTTCGGGTTTTATTCTCTGGGACCACCGTGGCCGAGCCATGCCGAGCCGCCCCCACGGCCACCCAAAAAATATTTATAGCCGTCCATTAAAATTGGCACATCTGTCTCTCTCTCTCTGGCGGTGACAATGTAAGCCGTCTGTATCGGCGGTCATCCCGTGGGCTGTCGTTGCCGCCAACGCCCGGAAACAAGGCGGCGGTCGAGTCCGAATCGAGTCCGAATCGAGGCAAATATCAGTGTGGGGCTGAGGAGGCCCGGCGGTAGTGGGACCGGACCGGCCGAGCCCCCGGCAGCCGGTGAACCCGCTGCGGCCGGACCGGCGCGGTGGCAGCGTCCACGCTGTACGAGGGGCGCGGTGCGTTAAGGTCTCCGAACCTGCGTCTTCTGCTCCCAAGCCCAAGAGGAACGGCGAGTCGAAACGAGGCCCAAATGACGTTTGGACGTCAAAATGACATCTTTGGACCTGACCTCACTTTCGACTGCAAGTTTCTCAGGGCAGGCAGAAAATAAACCCCACACGGCTCGACCCGGAGGCTAGTCTCTTCTATTTTAAGTCTTTTGGAGACGAAAGATCACCGAATCCAGACAAGGCGTTGGGGCGCGCCACCGCGTCCGACTGCAGAGCACGCGGCGCGCGCTCATTACCTAATGGCCGGCAAGCGGCGCGGATCTAATTGAAATCGGCGAGCAGAGCAGTGCGGTGCAGTGTAGCAGCCTGAACGGTGGCAGTTATGGCAGTGCGTGTAACACCCCCCCTGGCAGTGCACGCGGTGCAGCGCGTTCACGTCGCCGTGGCAGGCCGGCCAGGCCAGGCGCAACCTTGGGGCGTCCCCGCCCTTGCGCGCCGCGTAGTGCCGCACAGCATAGAGTCGCCCAGTGCCGGCCGGAGCGTCGTGGCTCGCCGCCAGGAGGCGCACAAACCCCTGCAGCGAAATGGCCGCAGATTTGACATTGCTCCACTGCGCCCCACTCCACTGCGGTCCGCGACGACGACGACGCCGGGCGTGGCTGGCCTGGATGCCGACGGGGCGCCGGGCTGCGCCGCGCACGTGGACAGCACGCCGCGGTCGCCGGCCAGGCCAGCGCCGAGGCCCAGCGCCCTCTCGTGTCCTCCGGCGGGGCCCCATTGGATGCGATTCGAACGAGCTGTCCGCCTGTACCCGCACGCGTCGTCGGCACCTGCGTGGTTCAGGTGCTCGTCGGTGGCGTTGGGACCTACACAGCCCTGCCGGCACTGCCCGCCCTCCCCCTCGACCCGCAGCGCCACCGCAGCGCCCTGGCCGGCGAGCGGCCATCTAAATACCCGGCGCTACAAAGGCGCGGCGGGACTTGGCGAGGCCTTCATTGAGCCATAAATAAGAGAAAGAGAGCCAATTTACGTTTTTACAGGACGCCAATTCCCCGCGCGCCACGCGTGCCAGCTTAATCCCCGCGAAGGACGCCGTGGCGTGGACGTCGTGGACAACGTGGACGTCGTGGGCGTTTTGTCGACTGCTGAGGCGGTAATATGGACGGATGTCTCCCTTTCGGTTTCAAACTCATTTTGGCGGGAAATTTCGAAAAGTCAGCTCAGCGTCAATCCAGTTGGCGTACAGGAAGGATAGCTGTGGGAAGAGTAAGAAGCGCGAGCGGAGCCGTGTGTCTGTGTGTGCGTGTGTGTGTGCGTGTCTGTGTGTGTGCGTGTGAGTGTGCCTTGTGTGTGTGTGCGAGCTTGCGTCTGGGCGGGGCAGAGATCCCAAGGCCGAGTGTTGGGTGGGGTCGCGGCGTAGCCAGCAACCAACAGACCGCTGATATACACTGTCGAAATCGCGAGCCCGATCATTTATTTTAAACGAGAACGTTATCAAAGCGCGCGCACGCACGCACACAAAGACACACGAACACGGCTGGCAACGCAAATGCGGGCGCGCGCGGCGCGTATGGAGGCGGGTTCGGCGTCTTGCCGGTAGATTGCGGCGCTCTTCATGTTCACGCTCGGCCGCGCGTGTTCAAGTTTTGACGCGTGCAATGCGCGCAGCGTTTTCGTCATGCCGTTCGGACGAGTCTTGAACCGCGGCCAGGACCGATATGGACTGTACGGCAGCCTTGCTCTAGCCTTGTTCGAACGCGAGGTACTCCATGAGCCAGGCTTTCAGCTCTCGGACCCCAGCCCCAGCATCATCGTTCGAAGCGGTTCAGAGCGGGCGGGACCAGCCGCGGTCCACCACGAGGAAACCCAAAAAAGCGACACAGAAAGGTCGAAGCAATGGTTACTGGTGAGCCTCGATTGCGGGAAAGGCACTCTTCTAATCTGGCGCGCGGCCGCGGGACCCCGTATGGTCCGATGCGAGCTTATCATTTTCAATTTGAGAGGCGGTTTGACTTATCTCGGGGAGACAGTGTGGCTGCCGGCCGAAACGGGCTGAGACGGAGACAAGGAATACTTCGGTGCAGGGACAAGGGGTTTCGCGGCGGGCGAAGCAGTTTTATGACTCGTAATTTAGACAAATTGGCCCCGGCTCAATCAGATACCGGCCAATATCAGCTCATTACTGGGCCGCCACGAGAGAGAGATATGCATCGTTTTCCCGGGATCGGATGATAACTTGGCAGAAAAAGCAACGTAGTAATTGTAAGTATGTTTGAACCCAACTCCAACATTTAGGGAACACGCGGTCTGCAACGCGATGACGCACACACACGGACTGGATGCGGCTTCGGGCCGTCCGGGCTTTGGGTGGGTGTCCGAGGCGCTCTGATTCTCCAGCGGCTGGAGCAGCACCCGGTAACAATGCGCTGGAGAATTCCAGGCAAGGCCGTTCGGGATGGCAGCAGCAGACGCCGTCTGAGGGCGCGCCTAGCTGGAGAAAGGCCTGGGCGAACTAAGTGTAGCATGCTGCAGCAAAACGGAGACAACAGCTGGAGTCGTGGGTCGTCGTGTAACTTTTGTAAATGCTGGTCCATAAAGACCCATTCTCATGTAAAATAACAGTTTAGTCTACGTATATTTTTTTTTTCACGTCAACCTTTCGACCCGGAAATGGCCCGTGGAGGGCCGAACATCGAAGCGGTTTGTTGGAGTGAATGGGAGACGAGCACCGAGCCGTGCCGCACCGATTGGCAAGCCTCTCGTGAGTGGCGCCAGCAGGCTGGTCCCGAACGGTGATCCGTCACTCTGTCTCTCTCGCACCTACACGGGACGCCCCACGAGTGCGAGAGAGACAGAGCGACGAAAGCACTCTGCGGAATCGTCCTGCTGGCATCGCTTTAGGCGATTCGGGCCGGACGGCGTGGCGTGGGCGGGGTACTCGGCGAACACACCGCGCTCAATCAACGGCGGCTATTCATAGACAGACAAAAACTACGCGCAGTTTAACGCCTTTTTTGTTGTTTCATTGGCACTGATAGCGGGATGATATAAAACCACATTGCGTGCAGCGCAGCCACGGTATGACGTGAAGCGTGCGGCGAGCATCAGAGTTTAGCTCCGGGCTGGAGGGGCAGGGAGGGGGAGAGGGGCTGAGGGTGTTGGCCTGGGCAGGCTGGGCAGCCTGGGCCTCACGACGGCCAAGGGCAAGGTCTGCCAGCAGGCTGCCGCTGCACATTCGGCTGTCAAAACAAACGAAAAAGACAAACGGATGGGAGGGAGTTGCACTGCCAATTGGACTGGATCCGCCATAGCGCAGGAATGCGGACCGTGCACTCAAAAAATACTTAAAACAATTATACATTAAATTCTCTTTGTGTTTTTAATTCATGGAAAACTCAAGAAGAGCTTGAAGTTACTACAGGAATAACCACCACAAAAAGTCCTTTTACGAGATTTCGACGAGCTTAAGTCTTTAACTTTTGGATTGAAAATTTAAGATGAACACACATTTTCTATAAACTTGCGATACTTAGGGTCTGTTTCCGGTTTGTGTTGTTCCTCTTCTTCTTGCCGGTTTCTGCTAGAATAGTGCACTAACCGTAACGAACTCTTCTTTCTGAAGTCATTAGACGCAATCTTGTCTGAACATTTTGAGATCTGTTTCCTAGTTTGCTCGCACGTGTGGTGTCCCTGGGCGTCTGAAGAAGCTTTCCGCGCGTGACCAAGGGCGGATCCAGGGACGGGTTCAGGGGGGGGCGACGTCGTGAAAGTTGCCTACCTACAGGGGTTATGTGCGACTTTTTGCCTACCTTTGAGGCGGCTTCGCCGCCTTCAGGGGGGGGCGACGCCCCCATCGCCCCCCCCTTGGATCCGCGCCTGCGCGTGACTACCGGCCCGCCAACAACGGCGGCAGCGACGGCGAGTGCCGTCCTGGCTGCTCTCGGCTTGGGCGTCCTCCTCCGCAACAATGGTGTGTCGAAGTGCGCTGCACCTGCCCGCCCGCCCGCTTGGAGGCCGGTGGGTTGGCGGGCTGGCGGGGCGTGGCGGCTGGAGGGGCCATTCGCCGGCATTCGCCCTGCAGAGCCATTCCGAATCTCTTCCGTTGCTCTGTCTCGCTCGCGGGGCGTTGCGTCGGGGTGCGAGAGAGACAGAGCGACGAAACGTGCGGAATGGGCGCCTGGAAGGCGGAACACTTCGGCCCCTCTTCTGGACCGCCTCGCCGCCTCGCCGCCATGCCGGCGGGGGAGGAGTATAAAAGGCTCCGGGCTCATCCGAAAACGCACATTTCCTAATCAGCAGCCGTCTTAGCGAGTACTGGCCCCCCGTCCAGCAGCGCTAAACATGAAGGCTTTCGTGAGTATCTCCAGCGCCTGCTGAAGCGCTGCAGTGCTGTAGGGTCGAAGCCTAACTCGGCGATTTTGGCTTCCAGTTTGCTCTGTCCTGCCTGGTGGCCGTGGCGTACGCCCGCCCCGGCGTGCTGCTCAACGCCCCCCTGGCCTGGAACGGCGTCTCCAGTTACGCCGCCGGCACCCCGCTGTCCTCCCAGTACCACGCGCAGGACGAGCTGGGCCAGTACAGCTACGGCTACGCTGGCGGCCCGTCCTCCAAGGCCGAGACCAGGACCGCCGACGGCGTCACCCGTGGCTCCTTCTCCTACGTCGACTCCCACGGCCTGGTAAGGGAAGGGACGAACCCAGGGAAACAAGCAGAATATTTTTGATCGTCAGCAATACGCCGATGAAGAAATGATGGGTGAATAAAAAGGATGCAACTTTGCGGGTATTTGAACCCGCACCTTGGCCCTTTGTCCTTACACGCGCTGCCCGCTGCCGCTGGGCGGCCGCTCGCTTACATAGTAGCCTGGCCATACTCGGCTGCGGCGGGGCGTGGCGGGCGTGGCGGGCGTGGTCGGGCGCGTCGGGCGTGGCGGGCACAGGTTCGCGCAGTGGCGTGCCTCGCGCCTTTGCTCTTATTTCTCTCCTGTTCCTGTCGCGGCTCCGCGGCGCGGGCCTCTACAGACAAGACGCTTGGTTATTTTTGTCGGCGCGATGCAGGCAGCTTGGACAGCTCCGGGTGTGGTCGCCGCGTGGTCCCTGGCGGCCTCAAGGACGTGCGAAAAGGGGGAAGGGGTGGGGAGGGGTCCAGGACAATGATCACATTAGCCGCGCTTCCAACGCTTTCGTCGCCATCCTGTTCATTATCGTGCTCCCCACCTCGGCGACGACGGCCCGATGAGCCGGAGAGGAATGACGGGGGCTTTGCCTCCAGCAGCACCAGACGGCACCAACACCTCACTGATGACTTGCTTCTTCTTCTTCCAGCTCCAGTCCCGCAGCTACGTGTCTGACCCCGTGAACGGCTTCCGCGTCGCCGCCTCTGACCTGCCCGTCGGCCCCGCTCCCGTGGCCGCCGCTGCCCCCGTCGCCGTCGCCAGCCCCGTCCTGGCTGCCGCCCCCGTCCACGTCGCCGCCGTCCCCAACCCCGTCGCTGACACCGTCGAGGTTGCCGCCGCCAAGGCCCAGCACTACGCCGCCCACGTCGAGGCCCGCGCCCGCAACGGCGACGGCATCGTGCTCGCCGCCGCCCCCGTCGCCCCCGTCGCCGCCCCCGTGGCTGTGGCCACCCCTGCCCTGGCTGCCGCCCCCGTCGGCGTCGCTGGCCTGCAGTCCCAGTACCACGCACAGGACGAGCTTGGCCAGTACAGCTACGGATACGCCGGTGGCCTGTCCGCCAAGGTAAGCCTCGCGCGTTTTCACAGTGCAGGAACAGGAACTGCGTGACGCGGCGTGACGCGATGGAGGGCGTGGTGGCGGTCCGCTGGCCCGGGCACCTCGGCGTCAGCCCGCGGCCCAGCGCGGCGGCGTGGCGGCGTGGCCCAGGCAGGACCCTAACCTTGAGAGGCGCCACGGAACCCACCGCCGCTCCGCCGCTCCGCACCGCCTACTGGCCGCCACGCCCATCCCAAGTTACCATATCGATGTATCGATTCGGGTCCAAAGTCCGCGGTCGCTGCGATTAGCGGCTGAACCTCGTCCGGCCGCTATCAAGTGCCACGACCTGACAGTACTGCTGATTTCTGCAGGCCGCGGCACCGCGGCACTGTACGACGGGGGCCTCGGTCTGCAAGTCGGAAGGAAACGTGATCTACTCGCACGTTCATTGACACGATGATCTTCTTCTTCTCCCCCAGGACGAGCACAAGACCGCTGACGGCATCACCCGCGGCTCCTTCTCCTACGTCGACGCCCACGGCCTCCTCCAGTCCCGCAGCTACGTGTCCGACCCCGTGAACGGCTTCCGCGTCGCCGCCTCCGACCTGCCCGTCGGCCCCGCCCCCGTGGCCGCCGCTGCCCCTGTCCTGGCCGCCGCCCCCGCCGTCGCCGCCGCCCCTGTCCTGGCCGCTGCCCCCGTCGCCGCCCCCGTCCCCGTCGCCGCTCCCGTCGCCACTCCCGTCGCCGCCGCCGTCCCCGCCGGCATCGTCTCTGACGACACCGTGGTCGTTGGCGGAGTCGCCGACACCCCCGAGGTGGTCGCCGCCAGGGCTGCCCACTTCGCCGCCCACCGGGAGGCCAACGCCCGCCTGGCCTACGCCTACTAGGAACCCTTCCACCGCAACGAACTCCCCGACGACGACTGTGCCATACGTACACTGCAAAACACCAACGACTGAGTAGACGTTACCAAGTACCTGCTGCGAATAAGACTCCCGAAGGGATTGCCTTCTAGAGTGCAGAATGACCGCTGGGCCAAACGGGGCTGGAATCCCTTTGCGTCTTAGTACGATCTGTGATCTGAACTGATTAGGAAAGCGACGCGGCGTGTCCACTTTTCTACTCTGAAAACAAGGGTCAAAGATTTGAAACGTTTTGGCCTCCCCTGAAGAACGGTAGACACGCAGTGCTGTGAGAAACACTACAAAAAAAAAGCCAATAAAGAGGAAAATATTTAAAGAAGTGATCTTTATTTTCTACCTTTTTCACCTCGAGTTAAAATTTACCTTGACACAGACTCCATTAAACACCACAAAATGTACGGATATTTTGGGAATCGATCGGTGGACCCTTCTATCAGGGTCTTCGCTCTCTGCTCGAGCGAAGTGGAGTGAAGAGGGTTCTTGGCGCGATGGGATTCAACTGCAATGAGCGGGCCAGTCAAAAATGTAAAGAAATGATGGGAATTGACCCGCCGACCCTGGCACCACGCTCAACGCCTCTGCCACTTCGGCCACCCTACACCACGATCCCAAGTGGGTTCCGCGGGGCATGGGTTCGCCTGGCTTGCCGTAGCGCCCGGCCAGTGGCTGGGACGGCCAACCGCCAGGCGCGCGTGCCGGCCGGGCTGCCTCCCAGTGCAGGCGCTGCCCGACCGCGAGCCCCCCGTCGATGACGTCAATGGCGCTTTTGTTGTATCTGCGCAACCTCAACCTCCGGCGTGCGGGCCGAGCGGGCCCTGCCACCGGGCGGTGCACTTGCGCGACGCAGACGGGACGCACCAGCCCAGGACGGCCTTTGGCCTTGAGGGCAGCATTGACGTCAAATCCGTACAGCGCGTCCCGTCCGCTAGCGCGGTGCACCGGCCGAAGATGGGCACGGTGTGAGGCACGGTGCGACAACCTGCGTCCGTTCCGCGTCTCCACCAAAACGCGGCTATGTTTGGCGTTCTGCGTGGCCGTGCTGGCCGCGCTGGCAGTCGTCAACGTCAGCCCGGCGTGGCCTGGCGGCCCGGCCCGACCCCCGGACTGGAATTCCGGCGTGGGTGCTACGGACACGCAGACAAGCACAAGAGATGGCCATGCCAACCTTCTGTGTCCGGTCACAAATGGCGCTTGGGCCGTGTCTCGGACCACGCCCGCTGCCCACCCCAAAACTTGAGGTACTACTTTACCTCTGTGTTTCACTATCGCAAGCTCGCTTCACTGCCGCCCGCTCTAGGTTGGCGACCTGGCCGGTCGGCGACGGACCCGGGCTCGGAGTCTCCCCGCACGGCCCGCACCAGCGTCGCGGATGATTGCCGGTCATTTTCGGCAACAAGCAGTCGCTCCGTCTCTCTCGCACTCACGGAATGCCTTGTGGGTGGGACTGAGACAAAGCAACGAAAGGCGCGAGGCATTTGCCTGGAGCGCTCCGGTGCAGAGGAGCCCGTTGGGTTGCCTAGGCCTCCACTGACAGGGGCAGGCTTGCGACGGAGCCTCGTAGAGGCGGCGGTGCACCTCCACGCCCGCAGAATGCGTGTGTGTGTGTCTTACTAACCTGCCAACCCCTCACTGCTGTCGCTAACCCCCCCCCCTTTTCTGTTGGCCCTAAGGTCATGTCGCTTAAAGACGGACCCCGGCATGCGTCATCAGACCAATTACGCAGTGTGTCGGTGTTGCCAACTGCGGAGGCAGAGAGTCGCAGGCTGACTGCACAGCGGGCCGGCCAGGCTGGCCACTCGATTTGTGCGTCCGGCCGGGGACCACACTGTGGGACCACACTGTGGGACCACAGGGACACATCGGGGGCATTGAGGGAAAAGACGCGCCATTAGTTTTCAAAGACAGTTTATTTTCAGTCCTCGTGCTCAAGGAAAGCACACAAGTAAAGGAAAGTCTTTCATGTCTACAAAGTAGCGTTGAGGATAAGAGAACAAGCTTTCGGTATTACATGTACGAAGGAGAACTGAAACCAGACAAACAGTAGGCAAATCATCTGGCAATAATATCATAAAGTGCAAAATAAATAAAATTTTACAACCTCTGCTGTCAGTTTCAAGCAGCCTCATCGCTTTCCATCCCCAAAACAATTTGCGTAAAATTAACACTTACGAGACAAAAAAGAAAAATATCATAAAACCGCGGTAACTTACTTCTTCCTTCAAAAAGGAACGAGTACTACTTGTTCTTTTTTAAAATATTTAGACGCGCCATCAATCGACTTCGGAAAGACTAGGATCCAGTCTTCTCGATGCCAAGAGCCGGCCTCGCCACACTTAATCACAGCAATCTAATGGGTGCGTTATCAGGGAGGAGAGGTATACTCCTCAAAGAACGCTAGGGCGTGCGGCGGTTCGTTGCCCCGTACTCAGTTAGAAATTGCGCCAACGATGAAATCCATTTTTGTATTTTCTGATGAAATTTTGACTGCGCTTCGGTAAAAATCCTAGAATTTTATTCATTTTTTTTGTCTGGAACTATATTGATTTGCATAAGGTTTCTAACCGAATACGGGGCAAGACGCCAGTCGAGGGTAGGACAACGCCAAACGACACAGTGGATGGCACAAGGTGGCACAAGGTGGCACTAGGCGAGCTGGGTGGCCGCAGAACCCTCACGTCGACGGCGTGCTGGTGGTCGTCGTGAGGTCCACGATGCGCCGCGAGGTGGAGATGAACCCCCTGCTGCCCGCGATCCGCGACGGTGGCCGTCAAGGAGGCCTAGCCGCTGTACGCGCTGGCGAGGCGTGCGCCGGCCTCCCGGTGCGCCGCGAAGTGGGCCGCCTTGGCCGCGGCCACCTCGGGCGTGTCGGCGGGCACGTCGGGGACGGCCACGGCGGCGGCGGGGGCGGCGTAGGCCGCGGCGATGGGGCGAGGGTGGATGGGCTGCGAGGGGACGCCGTACGCCGCGATGGGCGCCTGGAAGACCTGCGCGGGGACAGGGTAGGCGGGGCCTGGGGGGTGGTAGATGCGGCCGGCGGGGGCGACGGGCGCCGCGGATGGCGCCTGCGGCAGGTTGGTACCGGACGCGCGGAATCCGTTGTAGTTGTCCGCCTCGTAGTCGACGGCCTGCAACACTCCGTTGGCGTCCACGTAAGAGTAGCGTCCCCGCGTCAGGCCGTCCGCCGTCTTCGTCTCCGTCTGCAACACGCGGGGGCGTGCGTCAAGGGCTTATCGCGAACAGTCTGCCAAGCCAACTCGTCTCCCTCGCGGTCCCATGGGGCGCCCCACGAGTGCGAGAGAGACAGGACGACGAAAGCAGTGTCCGGAATGAGCGAGCAGGGCGAGCCATGCGCGGCCCTCCGTTTTGAACGTGGCGCCAAAACGGAGCGACCCCCTGGCGGCTGCCAGTCGGTAGTGCGAGCGGTGCGAGTGCGGCGTGCGGCGAGCGCGCGGAGTGCGAGACAGTGCGAGTTAGTGAGAGTGCAGTCGTGGTGCGAGTCATCGTAGCGCGGGGAAGTCCCGCCGCTGTCTGTGGCGGCGGTGTGTGCGAGGTCATATGCGAGGTCATGCACGAGAGTGGCGGTGCGAAGAGGAAAGCGTGGGAGGAGGAAGATCGTAGCTCCGATATTCGATACTTTTCGATTATTGGACCGAAAGGACGAGGCAAAGGTTTCACCATTTGCTTCTTCCTGTTGAGGTTCAAGTACCGACGGAGAGCCGATTTTCCCCGCCCACTATCCACGCAAACACAACGTGGACCTTGGCTTGGCCACACGAATTGCAGCGCGACGCGGTTTAGTTGCATTCCATCCTCACCTTGCTGCTGAGCCCGTCCGAGTAGCTGTAGCTGTAGGGCATGTTGTCCTCGTCGGACTGGTCCTCGCGGCCGGCGATGTACTGGCCCTCGTTGGCGCTGGGCACCCACTGGCCCTCGTCGTTGAGGCTGGGGACGTACTGGCCCTCCGCGTCAAGGCGGGGGTCGTACTGGCCCTCGGCGTCCAGGCGAGGGTCGTACTGGCCCTCGTCGTCGGGGACGTAGCGGCCGGTGCCGTCCTCCACGGAGGCGATGGTGTTGTAGCGGACGGCCACGTTGGCGGCGGGCCAGGCGGCGATGGGGGTGGGGGCGGGGGCGGGAAAGCGGGGCGCCAAGTCGGCGGGGACGTTTGGGTAGTGGAAGCGCGACACGCCGATGGCGGGCACGGCCGCGGGCACGGCGTAGCCGCTGGAGAGGGAGTTGGAGGAGGACACGCGCGCGGCGGCCTGGGCCACGGCGGCGAGGTGCTGGGCCTTGGCGGCCGCCACTTCAGGGGTCTCCTGCACCGGGCTGGGGGTCACGGACACGGAGTACTGCTGGTGGTGGCGCTGTTGCTGATACGCTTGAACCTGCACGCAACAGATTCAGGTTAATTTTCGAAACGAGAAGACAGGGGTTCACAAAAGGCATTCCCGCGCTCTCACCCCGGAGTGTTGGTAAGACTGCTGCGACGCGACGGCGGCCCTGGCGTTGGCCTCCTGGACGGCGGCGAAGTGCTTGGCCTTGGCGGCGGCCACCTCCACGGTGTCCTGGACGGGGGCCGGCGTGCTGGAGACCGTCCAGACGCGCTGCTGGGCGTACTGGCTGGACGGCGTGGACCACGACGCCACGGCGGCCAGTGGCGTGGGCGTCACGGACACGACCCCGCTGGCGCCCCTGGCGCGGACGTCCTGCACGATGGCGAGGTGGTGCGCGCGCGCCGCGGCCACCTCGGGCGTGTCGACGACGGGCTGCGGCGCCGCGGCGGCGGCCCCACCCCCGGAGACGAGCGCCGCGGCGCGCGCCACGGCCGCCAGGTGCTCCTGCTTGGCGCGCGCCACCTCGGGGGTGTCCCGCACCGGCTCCTGCGCATCGGTCGCCGTCACCACGAAGCCCCGCGCCGCGTCCGCCACGTACTGGCGCGACTGCACCTGCGGCACCCCGCCACCCACGACGCCAGTCAGACGCACCGCCGGCCCGATTTCGCATCAAAAAATGAAACGGAAGAGTTTTTTTTTGGCAGTGTAGGGGCGTTACCCCGCGGGAAATAAGAAAAGTGCTTTGTTGAATGGGTGCCGTTTACGACACAGGCGTAAACAAGAAATGCGAGGCTTGAATTTTAAATTGGAGAAGCGGTGGTTGTCAGGCATGGTGGGCGGGGCAGCGCGGGACTTACTCTAGTACGTCAATAACTTATTCAAGCAAGCATAGAGGACAAAAACAAAGAAGAATAAAGTAGGCACATAAGAGAAAGTTCGACAGTATTTTTCAGACGAAAAGCGGTTGAATCATTCATTTTTGCGAGCAGCAAGAAGAAGCAGTGACCAACTGGAAAATGTCGAATGAAACAAACTGATTATTATTTTTCCCGCTCACCTGGCCGTTGGCGTCCACGTAGGAGAAGCCGCCGTGGGTCAGGCTGCCCGACCGGGTCTCCTGCGCACCCGACACCCCGCTGCTGTACGAGTACGTGTAGTCCGCGGTGGGGTGCGCCGCCAGCCCACCGTACGGGGAGGCCGCCGCCAGCGCGGCCAGCAGCGATGTCGTCAGCAGCAACGCCTGCAGAGAGAGGCACACCGTAAGTGTGAGATTCCACTTTCACAGCTCCGAGAGGTAATGCGAGAAAAATGTGGAACGCGTCGAACATGACGACAACGCCTAATTGCAAGGATGACAGCGCGTGTGGCAATCGGCATGATGATGAGGTGGCGTGGCCTCGGAAGCTGCAGCCCGCGACTTTGTAGCCGTGTGTGTGTGTGTGTGTGTGTGTGTGTGTGTGTGTGTGTGTGTGTGTGTGTGTGTGCGCGCGCGCGCGCGCGCGCGTGTGTGTGTGTCGTTATTGTCCTGCGCGAGCTTTTGTAATGATTGAGTGACCAACGCGCATGAAAAATGCATTGCAAAAAAAATTGCACATCCGCACAGCCGCCGTCAGCGCAGAGGGCTGCGGAGGAGGCTTGGAGCTCCGGCGGATAAAAGTTGAGTCGCAGAGGAAAGGGAAGGGAATGAGAAGACTGGAAGCAGAAAAAACAGAGTTTAATGGTCGCTGATCGGGGAACCGTTCCAACGCGCGGAATGCCGGCAAAGGCTGATCACGAAGGCGGGCGTCGTCGTCGCCATCGCCGCCGCCGAGGCGTGAGCACGGTCAAGGTGGCGGCCTCTAGTGCCTCCAGTGGCTCCGGCAGGGGCGGGCGCCAGAATGTATTGAAAGCCGTTGCGGCGCTCCGCCCGCCGCTCCGCCCGCCGCTCCGCCCGCCGCAGCTGCCGTGGGTGCGCGCCGGAGTTGCGTGGATTCGAGCGCGGCCGGCCGACGAGGCGCTACACGCACACCAAGGCGCCGGCCGAGCGCCGAGCGCGGAGCGCGGAGCACAGCGGAACGCACCCACGCCCCGGCCACGGCCCGCTGCATTGGGCCGGCAGCATCTCCACATCGGGGGGGGGGGGGGGGGGGGGGGCGCAGCATTTATTGTGCGTCTAATAAAAGACCGGTTCCAGTTCGGAGTCCTCGCCCCCCACTGCCACGACCACGACGAAGACCGCCGCCGGACACAAACGGCCCCCTGCCCTCCTCCTCTTCTTTCTTTAGCGGGCGGCCGGCTGCATCGCAATTTATTTTTGACAGGGATCGGGCTAAAAATAGCAGGGCGCACGGCGTGGCGTGCCCGGGCTTGTCCGCCTGGGCACGCCGTGCCACGCCACGCCACGCCGCGCCACGCCGCGCCACGGCCGGTCCAGACCCGGGCTGGCGGGGCTGCTTGGCTGGCGCCACTTGTTGACCCGGTCAGGGCAGACTGAGGACTCTTCGAGGAAAACGGTTACTTAGAGAACGCATTGCAAGGCGAGTGCTTGAAAGCGAAAAAGGGGGCGTCGGTGGTTTTCGCGAAGCACGGCCAGTCGAGTGATACTCTTGATTGGGCTTTAAGGGCATGGCAGTTCGGGTACTTCGCGGCTGGGAAACGGAGGGGACGGGGGCGCTGTCGCGGTTTCGCGGGGGCGGTGCCCCGCGACGATAGACACGTCACTCGACGCGCCGTCCAGCCGGCCGTGCCGTCCTCGCGGAGGTCGCCGGTCGGGGGCGTGGCGCGGCACGGGCGGCACGGCGTGGCGGGTCGGGCCGGCCGTCGCCGGGGTCGCGGGGCGGGCGGGGCTCGCGTCACAATGGCTCGCGTCCATCTATCCATCCATCTATCCGGCCGGTGATGCATGAGTGCTGGGGTGGCTAGGCCCTTGCCAGGCCAGGCTAGGCCGCCGTCTCGCTGACTCACGGGGCTCGCCCTCGCCGTCGACGACCTGGCGGCAGGGCGGAGTGCAGTCCGATGCATCCCGCCGTGCAATGCATTTCGCCTGTTTCGAAACGCAGACTTAACCATTCAGGCGCCCGTTTCGTGTACTGTCGTGACAAATACCCCGCGCACGTGCGACGTACGCACCGGGACCCTGGCCGCCCTGGCCGCCCTGGCCGCCCCCAAGGCTGAGGATCGAGCGCATCCTGCATCAGCCTGCATCCAGCACGCAGCAGCCTCCCCCGGCTCACCCACGACGCCGCACGCCGCGTGGCAGCACACGCATTACTCATGCCGCAATGCACCGCCATGCACCGCCATGCACCGCCATGCACGCGCGTAACGCGAGGGAGAGCACCGCCAAAAACCCGAGCCCTTCCGAGCGGGGACCGCGTCCACTGGCGCCGCGGGGGTCCTCTGTGCCCCACACCTGGCGCTACGCGGTCGCGTCGCCACGCCGCCCGCGTGACTCACCTAATGACGCCGGCAGCTGCAGCCGTCCGGGCTCGAGCCGGGCAGGACCGCCAGCTGCGGCGACAGGACACCAACGCGACGTCGCCATTGTGTGCTTTTCGTCAACGACGCGTCCACTTTTTATTTCCGATCCGAGAAGAGTCCGCGGCGAAATGACGTGACTGCGGGCCGCGGGAATGCACCGTGACCTTTTCCGCGTCGTGTGTCGCGGCGGCTCGGTCGCGTGGCCGACGGCCGATCACTGACATCGGTATCGATTAGGTTTTTGCAACGCCCTTTGTCTCGGCCGGGCTCCGCGCTTCCTCCTCCACGTCGTCGTCGTCGTCCTCGACGTCACGAAGGCGGCGGACGTCGGCCTCACGGAAGCCGCGCGCACCGCGGCGAGGGCCTCGAAGGGCGGTGCGAGACGCTCGCGCCGAATACTAGCTACTCCTCCTACTATTTGAGTCTCGCATTGTTTCTTGTGTCACCACAAGGCCGACGGCACACGGCGAGGCGAGGCGAGGCGAGGCGAGGCGCTGTGGGTGCCGGCGTTGGCATTGCACTTGCAAGGACCCGGGTCCGGCCGCGCCAAGCCAGGCCGCGCCAAGCCAGGCCGCGCGGACCGACGCATCCCGCGCCCACCCGCCGCCGCCCACCGCACGGCGCACGCTACGCGCACACACGGCCCGCCAGCCGCCAGCGCCCGCCAGCGCCCGCCCGGTCAGCGAGGATGTGAATATCGGGAAAGGCATTTAGCTGGCCGCTCCAGACGCCCAGACGGCGCATGCGTCATGGCTGCAGAGACTTGGTCTAAAGAAGGAACAGCGAGCACTGGCGCGGCACTGCAGACTCATTCCAAGAGTCGCTGTCTTTGTCGCACCGACACTGGACGCCCCACGAGTTTGAGAGAGACGGAGCGACGAAAACGACTCCTGGAATCAGTGTCTGCTGGTTATGAAACCCGAGTGAGGGATGAGCGTGCTAAGTACCCTCTCGCTCAAGTCTATGAACACATCATCGAGCAGGGGTCTAGGGCGACGCCGACCCAGCGGCCATTGGAGGGCGGGGCGGGGGGTGGGGCGGGGCGGCGACCCTACGCCGTTCGTCGTGACCTCGGCGTGACGCTATCTCTGTGACACATGCGAGTGCAGTGGCGGGGCAAAGAGGAACACACTCGCTACACGGCACGCTCGCATTTCCAAGCCGATATGATCGGCCCGGCCGGCCTGGCCTGCCCAATGCAGGCCCCGTGCAAGGCCCTTGGACGTCTTCCACGAAAACAGGCCGGCCGCCTCGCCCTGCGCGTCCCCGTCCGAGCCATGCAGGCCGTGCAGGGCGTGCAGGGCGCCTGGGAGGTAGGCAATGCGACGCAGACGTGCACTGCGTGGTGGCCTACCCTGCACTTCGCAGGCGCCCGGAGCGAACCCACCGCTCCGCTTTGATTGTTCCGTGGAACACGAGGCAAAATGCGATTCCAGAAAGAGTCGTTTCGGCGCGCTGTCTCCCTCGCACCCCTCCGGAGCGCCCCGTGAGCGCGAGAGGGACAGACGCTGCTGGGCGGGGGTGCGATGGCCGCCGCGATACTGTCCGCCCGTCCCCCGCGATGCAGCCGTGTCCCCGCCCTCATCTCCATACCGTCGATGACGGCGTTTGTTTTTTTCCGCCGCCGAGCGTGTTTTTGACCCGGCAGGGGTCAGCGCGCCCACGACGCGCCGCGCCCGACCGCGTGTGACCGCGGCGCGACGGGCACAGGGAACGCTCCTCGTCCTTTTGGAGCTGCTGGACGCTGCTCTGGAGCGCCCCGCCGGCGCGAGGCGAGACAGGGCCAAATCAGGACTCATTTTGGGATTTGCATTCGCACGGCGGAAGGCCGCGCCAAACTAGAGGCGCGGTGCGGGCGGCGCCGCGGCCGTGTCAAGGCGAAGGAGGCCCTTCCCGACGTGTCTCGCTTCGCGGCGATTCACGAACCGCGTCGCGCGCCACCTGGTGGCCACACCTGGCGGCCCGCCCGCTCCGCCCCACGAGTAAAGGACGCCAAAATAATATTTCCGCCACCATTTTTGCGGTACTGAACCGTGGCGACGAGCACGATGCCGGCCGGGCGTCGGACGAGCAGGCCCACCCTTCGGCACGCCGCCGGGCCGGACCCAGGGCAGGGCTGGGCAGGGCCGGGCAGGGCGGGCAGGGCGTCGACGGGAAGGCGATATCGAATTCCACGACCGGCGTTCCATATATCGCCGGCCGATCGCCAGCCGAGCGACGCAGTGCCGTGCGGCCCGTGTGGTCCGTGCGTCCCTCCCGGCGGCGGCGCGGCGGCGCGGCGTTGCGTCAGGCGGGCCGAGGCCCGGGTCGGCCGGCGGCCGGCCGGCCGGGCGAGCGGTACCGATATTGGGTAAGGTCAGGGCGGCAAGCGG